AATTTTTAAGAAAACTTTAATACTTTTATTTTCACAACCGAACGTCCGAATCACGTCAAATCAACTCTGTTTCTCACCAAATTTGACAGACAAGTCATAAATGACATAACGGACTTATGAAAATTTTTAGAATTCGAATCCCACCCTGATATCAATAAAATTTAATTTGTGGTGAAACTTTAAAATCTTTAAGCTTTTAGGCTTCTAGTCTTCGCCAACTGGCGATATTTCAAGGTAAGGGACCTCCAATTAAATTTCGGGCATACGCCCAAGTCCCAAATCACGATACGGACCTACCGGAGCTGTCAAAATACTGATCCGTTTCCGTTTGCTCAAAATGTTGACCCAAGTCAACTCAGTTGAGTTTTAATACTCTATTTCACATTATAATCAATTTTTTATATAAAAACTTTTCAAAAAATTATACGGACTGCGCACGCAAGTCGAGGAATAATAAATAGTGCTTTTCGAAGTCTTAGAACACATAAATAATAATTAAATTTAAAAATGACTTTTTGGGTCATCACACAAATATTATAAGATCATACCAAATTAGATAGTAACGCAACTTCAAAATTTAGTGTTCACAAATGCAGAAAATAGAAACTGTCGTGGGTAAGAATGAAAGAACCCAATATTCGATTTAGTAGGGCTGATATTAAACTTTGTAACTAGTATTAAATATATGAGGTAACATTTAATGTGTGTGGTATTAAATTTATTAGTATTCAGCATATAGAAATTAAATGTCTAATGGATAGGGCTAAATATGAAGTATTAAAATTTCGGATTTTTAAATAATAAAATTTCGGATTTTTGAATATCCAAAAATCCGAAGTCCCAGGTACGAAATTCAATCCAAAGTTTTTAAATATTAAATCTGACATCTAATTCGTAATTCGACAAATCCCAAAACCAAAAATCCAAGAAATTAGGATTTCGGTTTGGATTTCGAATTTGCCCAAATTAGGCTCACCCCTAATATTTGGAGTGAAAGTAATTTTTTGTTGTATTTCATATTTTGTTTTTATATTAAAACTATATGATTAACCCCCCAAAAAACATAAAAAATGATAGCTCAATTTGAGTTGTGGGGAAACATAAAATATAGAGGAAAATACGGGAGAAATTTAAAAATAGCCAGATTTACAAGTGGTAATTGAAAAATAGCCACAGTTTCAAAAGTAATCGAAATTTAGCCACTTTTCATGTAAAAATAAATCTGAACGAAAATATTGTTCAAAATCCGAAAAATATTCCAGCATAATATACTGGAGTTCCAGTATAATATACTGGAATTATACTGGAACTCCAATATAATATACCGGTCAAGCATAATATGCTGGAAGTTCATACACAGGTGCTCCAATCTCCAATATATTATGCTGTAACTTTCCGTGTGTTGGAGTTCCAGCATAATATGCTGGAAGTTCATATACAGGTGCACCAATCTCCAGTATATTATGTTGGATCGGTCCGTATTACAGCAAAATAGTGGCTATTTTTTAATGACTTTGCAAATGCTGACTATTTTTCAATTACCAGACCGAAAACCGGCTAGCCGTACTAATTTTACGAAAATACTCCACGTACATATATACATTGTCAGCCCACATTTGAGTTGGGTTCTCAGAAAATCTTGGGCTTGACATTAAGCAAACACAATATAAGCCCACTGTCCCAGGTCCAATAAAACTTAAGCACATTCAGTGCACACGTGTCCAACCAGCAGTCATCTTCCTCTGTTTATTGTGACTACTAGTAACAAGTCTATGATCACTTTAAAATATACAGTAAAAAGAGCTCACATATGGTATGAAAAACTACTCAGTAACTGAGGTAAGTTTGATTTTTCTTCTTTTCTTATTCTAATATTTGTTTTACCCTAAAATGTTATACTTAAGTTGAAGTATTGCATGTTGATTCAGGATGTAATATTTTGGTGGAATTCAAATTGAAACTATGGTTTTCTGGACAATTCATGGAAATTGTCGTTTGGTTTGTAATGTTATCAATCTTTATAGTTCTATGGCTCTCTCGTTGCAGTATAGATTGCCAAATGTGGTAGTTTTATAGAATATAGATATATTCTTGTTGGATTCTCCTTTTCCTCTTGGAAGGGAGAAAAGGTGTTTAGAATTAAGTGATCGTCTCGTCTAAAAGTTTAAGTTGTTAGAGAGAACACACTTTTATTGACGTAATTACTTGTGAAATGTTTTTAATAATTGTTGACGGTGAGCAGTGGCGGAGCTAGAAATTTCGCAAAGGGTGTGCAAATTTTTGTCTCAATTGTGATAAGGGTGTGCAAAAACTAAATATATACTTATAATAGCTAACATTTAACCTATCTATACCGCATAATTTTCCGACGAAGGGTGTGCACTTGACCACCCTTTGCCTAAGGTGGCTCCGCCCATGGCGGTGAGAATTGAACTCGGGACCTCTATCTGCGCTGATACTATGATAAGAAAATGGACGTTGGTCCTAAGTCAAACCTAAAAAGCTAGCGCATGAGGTAAGGATTGCCCAGAGCATATAAGGAGACAATTACTCATTCCCTCAACCAATGTGGGATAATCTCACACCCTCTCGCTAGAAGCAGTCGAATAATCATTTAACAAAAACTAAATGGATGAAAATTCCAAAATAACTTAGGTAACAGAGCTGGAATCATTTATCTGCTGTTGAATTTCAGAAATTTTAAGATTATATAAATGGTTAGATCAAGAGCTAATTTGGCATATCGATAATAAGGAAATTTCTTTGAAAGCAGCAGTACTTCCACTCACATTTTAAGTCACAATGCTATTAAGAAAATAACTGCAGTTTCTATTTTTTGTTTTTTCGGAAAATCTTATAATATCAGGTTATTTAATATAGGAACAGATTATGAGCTATTCAAGTTTCAGCATATGTTTCCTTGTTTTCATGTAGAAGTTAATCATTCTAATAATTTAAAGAAGTCAATTTACCTTTTCACATCTGCAGGTTTACAATCTTTTCCGTTTTAACTTGTTCCAGCGATAAAGAACTTAGAAATGGCAAAAGATAAAGTTTCAAGCTTCGGCACTGAAGTTCTCCGGTCAAATAAAAAGTTGGCCGAGAAAAAGCAGGAGTCGAACAGCAAGCTAACTGTTGACGAGATATTTGTTCGTATTCCTGGATCGCCATCTAATTTTATATTAGGCCCATGTTTTAAGACTACACTTCCTCCGGAGCTCTCTCCTCTTTACCCCTTAGCTGAAGGAGAAAAGCTACTTCTACACTGTGTGCAACCTGATTCTTTCAAAGGTAAGACACTGAGATCGTGGCCTAATGTAAGTAGAACGTGGATCGATTGGGTAGATAGAGTTGAGAAGGCAAAATGGGAGGTGTGGAAATCAGCTGATATATATGATGCTATTCAGTTGTCGAAAATTGATATACCGATGGATAAAACTCTTCTTTACGCTGCCTTGTGCTATTGGTCAATCTCGACAAACTCGTTCCACTTCAGATTTGGTATGATGGGGCCAACAGTACTAGATATTGTTGCCTTGACAGGACTTAGGCCGCATGGCGAGGAAGTAAGTGTCCCTCTCGGAATTGCTGAATCAACTCTTGATTTTCCCGAGTATGGAAAAATTAAAGAATGCTTAACTTACTGCAAATTTCTTGATGTGTCAATGGGAGCAATGTCTGTGACAGAGGAAGAACATATATCGTTTCTGGTTATGTGGCTTTGTAGATATCTCTTTTGTAATTCTTCGATTACCATGGTCGAGCAATGTACGAAACTGGCTCTCGCTCTTGCTATGGGTAAAAAGCTTGCTTTGGCACCTATTGTGTTGTCTAATTTATATCATGGCTGCAATGACATCATTACGAGTAAGTTTGACAATGCAACGGGTCCGTTCTGGATCTTGCAGTTATGGCTACAGTCTTACTTTCCCGAACATCAACCTTCGACTTCAGATAACGGTAATGCTTCGACCTATGGGTTTCCCTTGGCTGAAGGTGTGTTGAGGCCTAAAACATTTAACCATTACTTTCTTTTCTTTCACACATGCTCGTCTAGAACAGCCAGCGTATTCACGCCATTTTCTTCTAGGAAGTTTGGACCTGAGTGGTTTAAACGGTCACTTGATCCTTACTTCCAAAAACTTAACAGGACAGAGTTAAAAGAGATTTGGGCTAGTTATCTTATTGCTCGAGACATCCCGTACAGTATCGTTCTAGACGAATCTTCGAAGTGGAAATGTGGGGTAGAACATTATTCTCCGAATCAGTTTGCTCGACAGTTTGGCATGAAACAGGCTGTTCCCCTCCACCGATCAGCCAATGATTTTTCAATCAGAGGAGAGGAAGATAACATGGAAGAAACTGAATCAAGGTTTTCGCAACTAAAAAGGAAATTCTCATTTGTTCCATTTAATATTAATCCAAGTTCTAGAACGTTCTTTGATTCCTGGTGGTCCACTTATATTAAGAATCGGGACAAGACTGCTATCGATGTCCTCAGGAAGATCTCACCATGTGATATGCCTCTCAGTCCATCTGACAGGCAAGAAGTTGCTGCTCCGAAGTCCATTGGTATTGAAGGCAATTCTCAGTCTGCAGGAAAATTTGGCCAGAATATGAAGAGAAACTATAAAGGTACGATACCCTTCTTGATGGAACAAATCATAATTTTCCTAGTTGGGTGGTATATCCCTAGGAATAGAGGAATCATCGGCGTTTGATTTGCCATTAAATGGAGAAGGAAAATGTTGGTCAAGGAGGCAAAAATACAAAAAAAGAGCAACCCGGTGCAGAAAGCATCTCGCGTTCACGCATAGCCCAGTGAAGGACCGCACCCCAAGGGGTCTAATGTAGGCAGACTACTATGATGCAAACATCAGTAGAATCGCTCGACCCGTGACCTATAGGTCACACAGAAACTACTTAACCGTTAGTCCAAGGCTCCCCTTCAAGGAGGCAAAAATATATGTAACCATTATGATTTGGCTTGCAATACAATGGCTCATAGAATCCTTGATATGATAACCTTTGGTTGAGGACTACTTGTCTTTTATACCATTATATTAATTAGATTTTCGTATAGCTTTCAATGTTCTGCTACTTGTCTTTTTCTACCTTTGGTTTCCATTTTCTGCAATTTGATATCTAGTATTGCCTCCTTATTCATGCCTTTCAGGGGATAATATTCCATCACAATCCTTTGTACAACAAGACGATTTCAGACAAAAAAGGAACTCGTATGAGACGGCTGAAAAGATATCTACAAGAGGAATATCATGCAAGGTAAAAGTTACCGCGCATCCCCTAAACAGACCTCTGGGATTGTAAGGGGATTGCTTGGCCTGATTCCTTCACTTCGCTGTTGCTTTACCCATTTCAGAAGATGAAGACTTCCGCAATGAAAATGCCGCTACCAGGTACAACTTCTACAAGTTGTACTCCTGCTAATGAAGATAGGAATAAGACCGACATGCAAGTTTCTGGTGACGATACATCAATCTCCGCCTCATCCTCCACTTCGGAAAATGTACGTAAATTCTCCTTATTATTTGTGTCATTATGTATGATTTCTCTGTCTAAGTTTGAGAGCTTTTTCTTTTCAGGAAGGTGAAAATTGCACGGTTTCCCCATTGTTAGCTAAGACCAAAAACAAGACATATGATAATAGTGAACCACTCGACAATCCTGTGGAAATTGATAATCTAGAAGACTTCTTTACTCGAGTTAGTGGACAAATTAAACGAGCTCGATCTATCAGTTTTTCGACTGGCCAATCTTCTTCCATATATGACAAGATATCCGCCACACAAAAGTCTACACCGTCAGTGGAAATGCTCGCCACATCAAAAGATGACATTGACAGATTACTAAACATGCCTTCTCAAGACTTACTTGTACCTGAAAACTGTTCAACATTAAGTGCAGCACTGTCAATATATGCTTTGTCACCAGATTTATCGGCTGAGAGAGCGATTGCCTTGGAGAAACTCAAAGAGAACCTTCCGCATCTTTCCTCAACCTTGCGTAGAGCTAAGAAGGACAAAGAGGAGTATTATAAGAAGGCTGCCAAGAAAGTGGTCATCGTCGATGAGCTCACAAAAGGTCAGGAACTCTACACCAACCTCAAAGAGTACAACGACAAGCTTGAATGTACAATGGATTCCATCAGAAACCAAATGAGTAAGTTGAAGGCAAGATTGAAGGATGCAAAGACAAAAAGAAAAGCAATCCAGGAGCAAAAATTGAGTTTGGCTAAGAAGTGTTTTGAAAAGTCTACTAATCTTGATGAAATGGAAGCTGAGTTTCCTGTTCTAGAAGAGATGAAAGAGTTAGCTGATTCGGATATTGCCCAAGTGGAAGAAAGGTTGAAAGTCTTCAAAAGCAAGATAACCGGATCGCCTGTGTAAATCGCCCTTCATATGAATTTGCTGGCTAGTATTCTAGAGTATAAGAGCATGTAAATATCTTTTTTGCGACGTACTTTCTATCTTTTGGATGGCATCCCTAAGAATAGCCAAGTTGGTCAAACTCGTAAAGTGAAACGAGTAGTGTAGATCCATGGCAATGTACTGGAATTTTTGCAGAGTTGACAAAGCGATCAAGAAGAATGATCACAGTTACTATCTTTTGGTGTATATGGAACGTAAGGAATCACAGATATTTTGATGGAATCTCAACTCCAACTTAAACTTTGAAGGCCTTTTGCTTAGTTAACCTTTACAGTTGGAATTTTCTTAAACTTGTAACTTTGAAGGCCTTTTGCTTAGTTAACCTTTACAGTTGGAATTTTCTTAAACTTGTACTTTGTCCAGGGGGGTTTGCGGGTTTAGTTGAACTCATTGCTTTCGGCTCAAACTATGAGTATATATATATATTGAAATATATGTGTATATGATCATGCTCATTAAACTCACTGAGTTTAGAACTCGCCTCTTGTTAAAAATAAATGTATATAATAGTTTTAGACAAATATATTACATACGAGGAACTCACGATTATAAGCATGTAAAAATTAAGAGCTAGAGCGAATCAAAATCCTGATACCATCACAAAGTTTTATGACATACTATACGATGATATTACATTGTGATATTACATTATGTATTACTAAAAAAATGATAAAAAAATAAAATTAAATAATCTGCAAAACTAAGGTTGAATTTTTTTTCCATTTATCACGTTGATTGATATGAGTTGAGGTGGTTGAATTTTTTTTCCATTTATCACGTTGATTGATATGAGTTGAGGTGGTTGAATTTTTTTTCCATTTATCACGTTGATTGATATGAGTTGAGGTTAAATGAAGAAGCAGATTTTAATTTATTTGGGATTGAGGCATCATTATTATTGTTCTTGTTGATTATCACGATTGATGCCAAATTGAGGAACTTATTGGCTGAATATCACACATTTCTCTATGCAAGTACTTTATTGTTATGATCGCTGATAAATATGCTTCGTTTTTTCCTCATTCTTGATTCATGTTTTGGATTTACTTATAATTACATATAAATTTCTTTTTAAAAAAATTAACTTCTCATTTATATTCTGTAATAGCGATTGACTTATTAAAAAAAATTCTCCTTTGATGGTAACCACTTATATAATCAATAAATGTCAATTTCCTTGACAGTGAACATAAATTACGTTTAAATGAGACTTATAAAGTGCATAATGAGACTTTAATCGCATTTATCAAATGCGACTTATAATTGTATTTATGTAATAAGCATTTAAGGAATACCAGTTATAATGCATTGAACAAATGCGACTTTTAAATCACATTTTTAATTGCGACTTATAAGTCGCATTCATAATTTACGACTTACAAATCACATATATCAATTGCTACTTACAAATAGCTTATACGACTTACAAATTTACAAATCAACTTATAAATCTCCTTTCACAATTTTTTTGCAATTTTTATTATATTGTATAGTGTGATCTATGAAAAAAGAGTATGTTTGTTTTGTTTTGTAGGTATTGAATCAAACACCATCTCCATCACTTGAAAAAGTAAGCTGGAATGAAGTTATATTTGGTTTTGCTCAATGGGGAGATTTTTACACGATTGCTCCCTATTTAAAGATTATTTTCATAAATAATAGCATTCTTTGTTTATTTCAAATATGATAGATTTTTTTACCTTTTTAGCAGAATTGAAAGATTATGTGGTTATGTTATCTACTACCCCACAAAACAAGCAATTCATTTCTATCCTTACATTAATTATGTCAATGTAATTAATTTTGTACCTTCTCTGTCTTTCATAAAGTTATCTTAATTTCTCAAAAAAGTTCCAAATTTTACCATCTCTCAATTCTTTGAGGATTCATCTTTTTTATTATTCCATTTTTTAATATTTTAAAATCTCTGGATATTAAATATCTTAGTTGCTTATACACATTATATATTACTATATATTTTAAGTATAATATATAAAAGAATATATGTGAAGCACTTAAAATACACATTATATACCGCATATATAT